CCCCAAAACCCCAAAACCCCAAAACCCCATTTAACAAATAAGAAATTGGAAATAAAAATGTCTATTTTAAAAGGAATCAAGGTCCTCGATTGCTCAAGGATCTTCGCAGCCCCTGTCTGCTCAATGATGCTTGCGGATATGGGAGCAGAGGTCATAAAAGTAGAAAACCCTAACCTTGGTGATGATACAAGGAGATGGGGACCTCCCTTTCCTAAAGAAGGAGATGACGCTTATTATTATCTATCCATGAACAGAAATAAGAGATCTATTACTCTTGATCTTAAGAGGAAAGAAGCACAAGAAGTCATAGGGAAATTAATTGGCAAATCAGATATTTTTATACATAATTTCTTGAACTTGAAAACTAAGAATTTTGGAGTTGATTACCCAACACTTTCATCAATAAATCCTAGTCTGATTTATGCCTCAGTATCTGGATTCGGAGATGAAGGTCCAATGGCAGGCAAAGGTGCCATGGACTTTACCGTGCAAGCTATGTCTGGAATTATGTCTATCACAGGATCTCCAGAAGGAAGTCCCTTTAAAGTAGGATATGCAGTCACAGATATCCTAACTGGGCAGATGCTTTACAGCTCAATTCTATCAGCACTTTATGCAAGAGAAAAGGATCCTTTAAAGAAAGGAATGAAGTTGGATTCTTCTCTATTACACTCTGCACTCTTTAGTATGTGTTATGTGCCATTTTCTTACCTAAATTCAGGATTCAATTACAAAAGATTAGGAAATAACCATCCGAACATAGCTCCTTACAGTAGCTACAAAACTCAGGATGGCCATTACCTTGTGATAGCTGCAGCTACAGAACAGCTATTCAAAAATTTCTGTGCTGGGCTGTCAATATCCGATGAAGAATACTCAAAATGGAGTAGGAACAAGGTAAGAGCAGGCAACCCTGACGAATTCAACGGTTTCCTTCAATCAAAAATAGATAGATTATCTAAAGAAGATCTTATTCAGATTCTTGAAAAACATGGGATTCCTTATAGCGAAATCAACAATATGGAAGGTGTCTTCAGTAACGAAGATATCAAAGGAATTGGTCTCACTAAAAAAGTTTACAGTGAGAACTATAAGCAAGAGCTTGAGTATGTAAAACACCCCATAAACATGACTAATACTCATCACAAGTTTGCTGATTTTACTGAACCTCCCAAGCTAGGCCAACACACAGATGAAGTCCTTGGTAATATAATTGGTTGATAATTTAGCTGAACTCGGATATACAGAGAATGAAATTCAAAATCTCAGAAAGGAAAAGATAATTTAACTTGATTGTTAAAACGAATACTACAACTCATTTTTCTTTGGGATAAACTTGTCTAGCTCTTGCTTCCATTTAGCAGTGGCTCTTCAAAAATGAGCACTCTTTCCGGTAGTCGGACTGTACTTTCGGTCAATTACTTTTCTACAGAGTTACTTTATGACTTACCCAACTACTTTAAGAGGCATTTCAGGCTCCTCCTTTGTCTTTATCTCAAGCCTAGGTATATCCTTTTCTGAGCTATCATCTCTTTGAAAATCAAGGTCTTGATTAAACTCAATATTCTTGCGGACCCCTCTCTTATAAAATTTCTGATTATTCTCAGTGGTTAGCTGGAAGTTGGAACTCTTTGTTGGATTAATGCTTTCAAATTTGTCTGGGAAGAGGTCTAAAGTTCATCTATATCCTCACCATTATACAGCTCAACTCCTGTAGCCCTTCTGCTGTTCATGACTGAGGTGAAATATTTTTGCATTAATCTGTTGGAAAATCACTCTTTGGAAGTCTTCACCAAATTGTTATTTTTAAAATTCAGAACTCTGTTGGTATTGGACCCATAAATATTCAAATCCCTACGTTGGAACACCTGAGTTCCAGGCCTTGTCTGAGATTTCAAGGTCCTAAAATATGATCTTTAGGCTTACCTTCCAGGAAACTTCTTGTTAGAATAGAAATCAGGGGTCTTAAAATTAACTTTCTTCTGAACAGTCCCTTCTATATGTCAGAGAAAGTTGGTACTATCAGTATGAATTCTCGTATGTTTTCTTATTACAGCCCGAGACTTCAAAATCTGCACGTATTCCTCATTATACAACAATTTATTTAGTTAATTTTGGCCCAAGGTTCTTCTTTATTCTCTTAGTCAAGTTCTAGAAATGGTGATAGAATTTTACCTTTGTCTTAACATTAGAGAGGCCAGCCTTCTCTTTACTCTCAGCAATATACTGCTTTATCTTGTGGATATCACTCTTCCGACCAGTTTGGCCTGAAATATTAATATTCAGGCTATCTTCCCTGATCTGTACCTTTCTATTATTCCCAAGATCTCCAGATTCTTGGAATATATCAGGCTCTTGTTGCTCACTGTCTTCTCGTGACATGAAGGAATTTTTAATCACCCTTGATTCATCAGGTTTGGTAAGGAAACCTCCCATTTTCTTCTCAAAATTGTTCTGGATTGAGTTTAAAACTTTAGTCTCTTCATATGAGTACTTCTGGTCGCTATCTTTGTCTAAATCGTTGTTCTTAGGTCCTCCATTATCCTTGGAATACTCTATTGTGGCCTTAGCAAACTCGTTCTCATTGAAAGCATAAGTGGGGTCTTCAGGGAATTCTCCTTTGTTCTCATCTACTTCATTTTTCTTATTTATTCTTGTTGTTCAAGTCTGAGTTGTTGATTCTCAACAGAAGAGTTTTACCTATAGAGTTGGAGACAGAGTTTACTTGTTCTATTTGGACTGTTGTTTCGTAACTTTATAGTCTGGATCCTCATATCGTTAGGCTCAAGCCTTCTGGATGTCAGGAAAAGATCATTATTAGCTGAATTATTAATAAGGAAATGCCATGGACTTACAGGAGTCTATAACTTGATTAGATCCAGGAATCCCTGGTTGATTATGAATCCTATTATTTGTTGGTGAATCGCTCTGTCTCTTTCCCTCATCCTTTTGCTTTGATATTTTCTTTGATTTTCTCATATTTTCTTTTGGTCTAATTGTAATCTGAGTACCTGGCCTGACTCCCAAGGAATTGACATCAATTCCGAAATAAGAGGTGACTCCATTTGAGGATTTTAGGCCTTTATCAAGCATCTCTAAATTTTCTTCTTCCATTTGGTAATAATCTTGAGAACTTATTCTTTTTGATAAGGATGGCACATACTCGTATTTAGGCTGGATGATCTCCTGCTTCTTCACAGAGGGAGATCTCCCCTTAAAAATATTAGTAGAAGGCCTTGTGGTTTTCTGCCGTTTCGTACCTAAACTTGATAAATATGATATTACCTTCTTTATTGAGAAATAAGTTCAAGATACACTTATTTCCTTCAGCTTTTTCTAAAGGGTTTAAATGGAAAAGTACCAGCAGGCATCGACAGAGTTCTAACAGAACTCCTGTTGTTGGTCTTGCTCTTGATGATATCTAGATCACTGTTGCGTTTGCTATAGATTCTTTGACAAAGTTACCTCCCGTGCATCGAGTCATCTTTTTGTTTATCAAACCTGTTCTGGAGCTTGTCGGGAGAGAGATCATGAAGACTTCTTCTTTTATGTTTAAAAATATCCCTATTTTTGAAACCTGATTCTTTTGGTTTAGAATACTTCTGAATTGACATCTTATATCGCTTGCTGATAGAATGTATCTGGTAATCCTTCCTAACTGGTTCTTGATGGCTATTAAGCAGATTCTTTGGATTCATTTCAAAGACCTTCAGAGATGGGTTGGTTTTCTTATTTCAAACTTTTCCTTCTCTTACTAGTGATCTAAACGAAATTTAGCATATTCAGTACTTTCCGTCTAACTTGGCTATCATTACCTCATTTTTCTCTAAAGAATTACGTTTTTTCTCTGAAAATTGCAAGCTATTTCCTGAATGAATTATCTTTTTCAGGAGACTTAAAGGTATTCTCTGGAGTCTTTTCAAGAATGGACTTCTGAGTTTTGCCTAAACCTAAGTGAAAGATATGTACTCTCTGAGTTATGGTTATCCGAGAAAGTATCACCAGTTCTCTATATTTTAGGCAACAAAGCTACTGCATTGGAATTTAGATTGATGAAATGGACTCTAGATCCACTGCTATTTTTATCTAGGGTTAAATAATAATTTACTTTTGATGGTGTGATGGTTAACAATGGCTTTTGAGTTAATCGTGATCTTCTGTAAGGCGTTATCATACCCTAAATTGAGAGTGAATTCTTCTAAGAGTATTTAAACCTCAATTTCAACGAAAATTCTTCATTATAGACTACAAAATTTCATAATTTAGATAAATAAAATTATATAAACACCTTAAAATTTTGAATAACAGCAGATTTTGAAAAATTAGTCTAAGTCAGTATTACTAATAATTACCTAAGTCTTGATTTGGAGCAAGCTGTTTCTTGTTCATCTATCTATAATCAGCCGATCGTGTTATAGAAAAGAGTTAAAATTATTTTAGATGACATACTTGTATGATTTAAAATAAATTCATTAAAATTCTAACAACGAGGGGTTTTGGGGTTTTGGGGTTTTGGGGTTTTGGGGTTTTGGGG